ATTGCAGCGACCGAGCTCGCCGCCACAGGCATCGGACGACCCACCCGCCGCGCCGCGCCCGGAGTCGGCCGTCGACGCCGCCAAGCGCGCCGCGGAGCACTTCACGCGCGCGCAGCTGCGCGCGAAGCGCCGCCTGCGCCCCGACGAGCACCCGGCCAAGCGCCGCAAGTCCTCGTCCTCGTCCGACAACGACCCGGACGACCTGCCCTCGCCGTCGTCGCCGCCGCCGGACGAGTCGCACCGCCGCTACCAGAAGCGCCTGCAGAAGAACCGCGACTCGGCCTTCGTTAGCAGGATCCGCCGCCGCGAGTACACCCGCGTGCTCGAGGAGACCCTGCTGCGCGTCGAGACCGAGCGCGACACCGCCGTCGCCGCCTTTCACGACATGAAGCACCGCCTGCAGGTCGTCACGGCCGAGCTCGACGGCATCAAGCACGGCGCCGCCGCACACCTGTCCGGCTTGAGGAACCGCCTCGCCGGCATCATGTGGCCGCCGCCGCCGGACCCCGCCGCCGCCCCGCTGCCCAACCCCCGCGCGGGCACGGCTACCATGTTCATGTTTGCCCTCGTGTTCGGCGCCATGATGCCCGACGTCGTCACGGACAGGCTGGGGGGGCTCAGCCTGTTCGGGGGGCGCGGAGGCTTGTCGGGGGGCAACGCCGCTGTGCCGGCTGTGGTTATGGCAGGTGCGTCGCGCACCCGCCGCGCGCACGTGACGGGGAACGTGTGGCGCGTCGGCGCCGTCGGCGCCGCCGAGAACCGCGCGCTGCGCGCGGAGCTGCCGCTGCGCCAGCAGCTGCTGGCGACCGTCCGCGCGGACGCTGAGCGGCTTGCCGTGGCCGAGGGCGCCCGCCTGGTCGAGGCCGTGGAGGAGTACGTGGACGACCTGGGAGAGCACGAGGCCGAGACGCTCTTTCGCGAGGTCAACGCCGCGTGCGCGAAGGGAGACGCCGGCGTGGAGAGGCTCAGACGGCTCGCGCGCCGCGTGCGCGAGAAGATGAGGGAGGACGGGGACGAGGACGGGGACGGGGACGAGGCCGTGGAGGCGCTTTTGGGGAGCGTCGACTGCTTGACGATTGCGGACCGGCTGTAAGAGCGGGAGAGCCTTTGTAAAACACTTGGGACGCTCGTGGTTGTACCACAGAGGTAGTAGAGCAGAGCAGCGCAGTTGTTAGAGAAGAAGAAGAAAACAATTTAATAAACATGGTACAGTTGATGTGTTGCCGTTGTACAAAAATACATTCCCAAACCTATCCAGGTCGCCGAGCCCGTCATACTATACAAATACAGTACAAAAACCCCAGTTATGCTACATGCCGATCAAGGAAGTAACGTCATCCCAGAGCCGTCTCGGTTCCTCCCCGCCCCTCTCCAAGTACCCCCCCAGCACAACCTCCGGCGCCACAGCCGCAACATTCCACGCGCCGTCCTCCATCTCTGCTGTGAAGCTGTCCCACGTCCACCGACTATACGCGACGAAGAAGTGAAACTCCTCCGGCCTCGCTCTCCCGTCCCCCACGAGCGTCCTAGCGGCATTAAACCCGCCCCTATACAGGCCCGGGGCAACCTCGCTCCCGCCTCGCACGCCCTCGACGCCATGCAGGACCTCGAGCGAGCCGGTGGAGCAGTCGCCGCCCAGATGGACCAAGTTGCGCTCAAACACGCGGCCGACCCTAGCCACGACGCCGCGGTGCGCGCCGACGGTGTACCGCGTCTGGCGGTTGAGCAGCAGGCCGGACACGCCCGCGCGCGAGACGTCGGTGAGCAGCACGACGGCGTGGTCGAGGTGGGCGAACGCGCGCGGCCAGCGGTGCGTGCGCGCGGCCACCAGCAGCGCG